TACGTTTCTTAGCCAAATCATCTGTTAATTTGTGCCACTGGGCCTCTCTGATGACTGTAACTTCAAACAGTATGGCAAGAACTGTCAGCAGCTACAGATGCCTCTGATGGTGGGGGACAGTTCTATCCCCTGGGCTCCTGGGAATGCTTTGATCACAGCAGACAGCCAACTCAGAAAGAAAGAACAACTGTGTCAGGACTGCTGCTGGACCCTCACCAAGGTGAGGGAGGCTCTCCTAGGACTTAGAAAGTTGTGGTTTGGTAGGACAGACCCAGGGGTCCACCAAGTTATCCACAGAAGCTGCTGGTCATGAGATGAAGCTGTAGCATAATCTCATTCAGTGAGGCAGCAGCTGCTGGTCATGAGATGAAGCTGTAGCACTATCTCATTCAGTGAGGCAGCAGGCTTAAGCCACAATAGATGGGAGGGTGGGAGTCTCGCGATGACGTACAGTCTTGCTGTGACGGCCTTGGGAACAGTGGCCCACAGTGTGGAGTCCTCCCCTCCTCAGCCCCACCTGCACTTGCAGCACTGGGTGGCCCGTGGCTTTGCTGTGCTGCCCACCCCCTCGAGTGCTAGACTCAGCCTGGACCTTCTCTTTGAGCCCTCTGCTTCAGAACAGAGGGCTTGGGATCTGCGGAGATTCTGTCCTTGCTGGAGTTGTAGTCAGACAGTAGGGGTCCTGTTCAGCTTACGGGTGGGGTGGGGCATGAACTCAGAACCAACAACAGGGCCAGGATCTGAGCAGAGGGGACCCCAGTATTCCTTAGAGCATCCTCCCTGGACCCCTCTCTATTTCCACCAAAGACAGTCCCAGTAGGACCAGCTTGCCTGCAAAACTCCTGATTGTTTACAGAAGTATACCAGAAGAACCACAGACTGAAATCTTGTTTGGGTGGAAAACTTGAGATGGAATCTCTGAGTAGCTTTGCACAAGCCTGAGGCTAGAAGCTGAACCTGGGAGTCAGCATTCTGCATGACTGCCCAGACAGGAGTCCAGGACAATCCAGGGTGTCCAGCTGAGCACCACGACACAGAGAACATATTTTTATTGACCTTATGAAAATGGCCATATTGCCAACATCCTAGACTCAGGGCTAGTTTCCAAACTGGGAAAGTAAAGGGAGAAAAAATAGAAGTAAATAACTCAATTTTTGTGTAAAAACCATCTTTTACTGAATTATTGTAAAGTATACCTAGCATGGAGGAAAAAAATGTTTAAGGCCTATGAAATAAAACAAAAAAAGTCAGCACTATTTTAACTAAAAAGCCATTAAAGCCATGATCTCTCTCCATCATTTCATGCTGTTGCATGCAACTCATTCCTGCTTTTCCTACACTGGGTATGTTCCCTTGTCCCTGGCCCCAACTACCGGGCGCTGTCCTGGCTGGAGTTCGCCTGCCCACTCGAGCTGCTGCTGTGGCTAAACTACTGGGAGGTACCAGGTCCAGGTCCACAGCCAGACTGTGGACGTTGAGATCCTAAATAGCTCTGGAGAAAGATCTGGCGAGCACTGTGCTCTCTGCAGATGATACAACTGGAACATAAGAATGCAATTCTGAACAACAACAGTATCCCCAGGCACAGCAGATCTCAGGAATCTCATGCAGGTTTTTGGAAAGCATGTTAACAATATAGTCATACAAATATAGCTCAAAAGTTACACGCCATTTCTTATGTGATGATACTTTCTATATATTTAATGAATGAAAATAAACTCTTCTATTTTGGGCTTCCAAGGGTGGGCTCTCTAAGAACCCCCTAAGGTAAAAAGATTTTATTTATCTGTTCATTCATTGACTTTGAGACAGGGTCTCACTATGTCATTCAAGCTGTCCTCAAACTCACTGGCCTCGAATTCACATCAGTCCTCCTGACTCAGCCTTCAGGGTACTGGGATTACAGGTATGCCTGGCAAGCTTTAATTTTAGAATTTGATTTTTGGGAAGTTTAAAACAATCATATAACAATCAAAAATAGGATCTCTGCTCATTATGGAGTAACTCCAAAATGGCAAAAGATTTCCCAGGCACAAGGACAGAAATGATCACAGAATCATGTTTTCCAGGCCAGCTGCCAACAAGGTAAATCCAAGTCTGTCCTCAGAGTCCCCAGCAGGGCAGATCCATCCCCCATGAAGCCACCTGCCTGTCAGAGTGCAGCTTGGGTGACTCCAGTGTGCTTCTAGGCTCCATGCTGCATTAAAAATAAAACTCAGAATAAGGCCCTTCTAATTTTAGCTACCTTGATACCACATACAAATTTTCCTGCAAAATTCATCCTTCACAAAACCTTGCCCCAAACCACATCCTCAGTCAGTGAAAATACATCCACACAGCCCACAGCCCCTTGCTAAGAGCCCGACTCCCTCTCCTTATAGCATCTTAGTTTGAGTGCGCATGTGAGTGAGAACAGGAGCCCTTGGGGGTGGGGTGGCGAGCCAGCATGTTGTACGCTGCCGCCGCATCCTCATCTCCAGCTGTGCATACAGGTCTTCATGCTCGTTACCCATCCCGATATGTTGATTTTTTACTCTGTATAAAAGCAAGACACCAAAGTATTTAAACTTTAGGAATCGTTTCAGCACTCCCAACTCATTTACAAATGACTGGAATTACCTAATGAGTACCTACTGTTTAACAGAACGGGTCCTTAAGATTTTCTATTACTGAAAGATTTTTGATCCTATTGAGAGTTCTTGTATAAATATTCCTTTTGCATTCACCTCATTGGCTTGCTTTTAACAGTTATGCCTGAACTTTCAGGGTGTGGAACTACCTCAGCTGGTACTTACTGGAGGACAAAGGTGCAGTCTGCCCGTGCAGTGAGTGCTGGGCTCTCTTCTGGAGCCTGGCCCTCCTGAGGGCCATCCCACTTATGGGTTGTCCCACCTGAGGGCTGTCCTACCTGAAGGCTATCCCACCTGGGGGCTATCCCACCTGAGGGCTATCCCACCTGAGGGCTGTCCCACCTGAAGGCTATCCCACCTGAGGACTGTCCCACCTGAAGGCTATCCCACCTGAGGGCTGTCCCAACTGAAGGCTATCCCATCTGAGGGCCATCCCACCTGAAGGCCATCTCACCTGAGGGCCGTCCCACCTGAGGGCCATCCTACCTGGAGTGCAGTATACCAGCACTCTGCAACTAGAATCAGGCAACCTTTCCAGTGCCCATAGTAAGCAAGAATGATAGATTTACTTAGCACCTAAATGCTAAGCTCTGTGTATGTACCATCTTCCACTATTGACCATAGAGTGATTAGTGAGACAGAGCCCCAATATATCATCCTGCTCCAAGAAGCAGAAACCTTCCCCACTTCTACCCCAGTAAGCAAAGAAAGAGGATTCAGGCTGTTAAATGTATTTCACTCATTCACACAACAAAAACATGCATTCTTAGCACCAGCTTGAACTGGCTTAGTGACCCGCCCCCAGGTATCAGCCACCCATGTCTCCTAGATGGGCACCCAGCCTCCTGATCACCACCCTGCCTTGCCTGCTGGGCTCCTTCAAGATGTGGTTCCCAAAGGGACTCAGGAAGAGACTCAGCCCCCAAGTGGACCCGGGACAGCTGAGAGCAGCTTCAGAAGCACTCTGGCCTCCCGGACTCTGCAGCAAGTGCAGCCAGGGCATGTTCTGTGTTCACCCAGGCCTATTTTGTTTAATTTCAGGGGCAGTGAGCTGCAATTTTCTGACAGGGAAGGTAGAACCACTCTCCTTATCTGCACTGATAACAGCTGAGACCCCTTCTATAACTAAGACCCGTGTGGTCATTGCTCAGAGCATCCACGGGGAGGCTGGTGTCCAGCCTGGCTGCAGCGTGGCCAAGCTGGGATGTCTGGGCAGATGTGCAAGCTGGGGGCCAGGTCTCCAGAGCCCCAGGCATCCTGCTGTCACCTGAAGAGAATAAGCTCCCTCCTCAGCTCCCATGGCACAGCTGATGCCCACACAGAAGACGCCTGGAGCATTCCGTCCTAAGAGTTTGTGGGCAATCAGCAGGAGCAGGAATGTTCTAGAAAACATGTTTTCAGTGTAGGGCAGGACACAGCTGTGTTGGAGCAGGGGCCACCTGGGCCAGTGCTGTGTGCTGGCCCTGTGCTGGGGTGGGGTGGGTGTGGTGGCCAGCACCATAGCCCATGGGGTCAGGAGATGCCCTCTCCTATGAGGTCCCAGCCAGGCAAAGGTCCAGAGAACACAGGCAGAAATTCCTAGGAAAAGCAGCAGCTCTGCCTCAGATCCCAGCACAGGAATCCTGCTGCTGAGGGTGGTCACAGAGCCTTCCCCACCTTTCTGTCCCGGTGCCAGCCACAAGCAGACTCTGCCTGAGAGCAGATGGAGAGACCCTGGGTCCAGGCTGAGCCACACCCTTGAGGGTGTCTGCTGGGCTCTGGTCCATCAGTTGTTCTGGCTCTGATCCTTTGGGCCAACACCACTTCCACAGAGCTGGCCACGCTTCAATCATGCTTATGCAACCAGTCTCCAAAACCCCAGAGGAAGAGAGTTCAGGGGACACAGACAGGCCAGGAAGGAGGTAGCCCTGGGTGGCACAGAGCTGTGGCCTCCATGCCCCCTCTGTGCTACTTCTGTGCATCCTGGCATGGACCTGCCTGTTTCCTGCCCTTCATAGATTTTACAATCAGGCTTTGAAGCAACCCTGTGCTGATCATGTCTATGTGTGACATTTCCCAGCAGTACATGCTTACTATCTGTCTCTGTTCCATTCTGGTGATTCTCGTATTTCCAAGTTTCAATGGCCCCAGTGACCCCTGATCAGGGATCTTTGTTGTTACTGTCACTGTTGGATGTGCACACCATCACAGGCAAAGGATTCTGTGCCCGCGCGTCTACTGGGTCCCCATCTGCTCTTTCTATTGCCAAAGCCAGGGGTCCCAAAGGGACAGCCCTTGTCCTGACCTGTGCGCATGGCCAAGTAGGCCCAGCTCCTGTCTGCACACCACTCTTCCCCTGCCCCCACTCCCCTGAGATCACATCACCCAGGAGCTGGTGCAGCTTTTTATTCAGCAAGGCAGGGGTGGCTGTAGGCCCCACACATGGGTGTGGTTAAGGTTGAGGAAAAGAAGAGGGGACAGCTTGTGGGTATCCACACTGCCTGCAGAAGCCGGCTGTTCTCGTCCCTGGGTGCCAGGGCTGGGCTCCATTGCAGGAAGGGGACACCAAAGGGGACAAGGGTATGGGATGGATAGCGTGGCGTGGCCTGGCACAGAGCCTAGGCATCGTGACAGCTGGACTTGGTGAGGGAGATTTTGCCGTCCCAGGGCACTGTGTAGATCTGGAAAGAGCAGACTGAGTTCTACAAAAGAAAAGAGACGGACAATCAGTGGGGCTGCGGGAGAAAGGGATGTCTCTCCATGTTGGGAAATCCCCACATGGTGCTGTCCCCAGCTCAGGGATCCCAGGTCCTTGTTCTCCATGTTCCCCAGGGAGTAGCCCTGCAGGGCCAGGAGCCCAGGGTTACAGGGCAGGGCAGGCACTTACTGCCCCAGCTCCTCCACCTCAGACTACAGCAGCACTGAGGGGAACCCAGGCGAGAACAAGGCCAGGGGACCCAGAAATAGGCAGGGTGGGCAGAAAGACAGTGACTCAGTAGCCAGAGCATGGCTTGCAGGGACCCAGCTGTCAGAAGAGGTTGAGGCTGAAGCAGTGCACAGGCTTAGTCTCCTCAGGCCTGACCTGCTCAGCCTGGCTCTGGGTGGGGCGAGGCTGGGATTCCCAGAGCCCTCTCCCTCCTCACCAGACCTGCTGCTAGGCCTCCCTGCAAGGAACACCCAACGTCGGGTTACCCCTCACTACCCACCACCCAGGGCCCCACTCAGTACCCCAATCAGCTGTGTGCACAGCGCCACTCTGCTACTGATGTGTGCACAGATGTGTGGTGGTTACGCACACTCACACACACCCCACACCTGAACTTATCTGCTCCCAACCACCACACTCCACACACGCCCCTCCCCACAGGACACGGGTGTGCACACTCACTTCCTCAGACAACATACATCTGTGCAGATGACACACACATGCAATTTCCCACAGCACTCGAGTATGCACATTTGCACCCCTACTCAAACACGTGTACATCCACCTCCACACAGGAGGTATGTACACTCATACCAACAGGTATGCATATTAACTTCCCACACAACCCGCCAGTGCACACATGCACATACACACGACAACACAGACTTCTTCACATGTATCTGCACACAAGCACAGCACCCCCAGAGGTACACACGCATGCATGTACAGACTTGCACATCCCTGCTTCAGGACTGGCCCCACCCACAGCAGGAACTTACCCTTTTCAGGTGTGGCTCTTCATGGAAGGGACAGTCTGACAAGGACAAGGTGGGCTGGGACTTGGTGCACGTGGTTCTGCCAATCTCCACTTCCAGGAAGTAGTTCACACCAGCCACCAACTGGGGTAGAAAGACCAGGATTCACTCACAGCTGTGTGGTTCACACACCCACAGTGAATGTTTCATTTAACAAGTCCCTGTGTTTGCCCAGGGCTCAGGCTTGCATTCATGAGCTGCCAAAACCATCACCCACCAAGCACAAGCCAAGTCTTGCTGCACGACTGCCCGGCCCTGCTTACGGCTTTTTTTCCTGAGCTACCAAACCAAGTGTCTCCTGCAGCCAAGCAGAGGAAACAGGAAGAGCGCAGGCAGAAACTGGGACTGGACTTCCTTATCTGGGCTCTGGGAGGGAGGCCGAGTTGGGCAGCAGCCTGTGCACTGAGCCAGCACTTCCTGCCCAGGAGGCAGGGCGGCTCCATCCAGCAGGCTCTGTGCCTTACAGAACGCACTGGACGTTGCTGCAGGAGAGCTGCGACCTGAGGATCCCTCAGGAACCTGGACCCCACCCACGGACTCCTCTTCCCAGCTCAGCAGCAGGGGGCACCCCACTGTCCACAGAGAAGGTTCAGGCCCATGGGAAGTCTCCAAGTACCGGCTCAGGGCCTTGTTGGGGGAAACACTCCCGGGGGTCACTCCCCTGCCTGTCTCGGTTTGCAGTGAAGAACAGAACCCAGCCCCTTCCTGCCTGGGCTCCTGGGTACCAGGAGAGGCAGAGGGCAGGGACCCAGGACAGGGCTCTGCACTGAGCCCTGTATAGCTCGGGTGAGGCCCCAGGTCCCCTCAGGACTGACCTGTGGGCTAAGTGCAGCAACCTATGATTTGTAATGTCCTTGGTTCACCCCCAAGGTTGTCACCTTGAGAGGTGACAGCAGCAAGGACTGTGGCAGCAGGAAGCGCAGGCCATGCCCAGGGCAGAGGTCAGAGGTCGTTGTGAAGGGAGACAGGCTATTTCCCACTCACACAGATGTTTGTTGAGGGGAAACCAAGCTCCACACACTGCTGTGCACACAGCGCTTTTTGGCATTGTCTTTATGCCCATCCGGCTGGGGACACAGGGACACTAGGTCTAAACCTGGCTTCCTCAAGGATAAGCCAGGTCCAGCATCCTCACTGCCCACAGCAACTCCAGCAGGGACACAGGCCTCTCCACCCCTGGCTCTTGAGTGCTCACAACTCCCATTCACCAGGCCTGTCTCAGGGTAGGGATTCTCTCCTAGAGACCACTCCTGGGAACTGCTCCGGGAGCCCCAGCCCTGCTGCACAGAGGGAAGCAGGCTCCTGGGGACAGAGCCATACCCCTTCGGGGGCCTACGAGGAAGACAGCCACTGATTGTGTCTACCCTCAAGGACACACCCATCACCTAGGCTCAGCAGGCACCTGGACAGTTCTGTTCCACCTAGTGACTGGGACACCTCTGAGCAGGGTCCTTAAGGCCTTGCTGTGTGATGTCATAGAGAACACACACAAGGAGAGGCAGCATCAGTGTCACAGCCCGTGTTATCTTAGGGATGCCTTCACATGCATTCATTCTTGTCAGGAGCACCCTGGGGCTCAGCACTGTACTCCCACTGGGTGGACCCTGAGGTAGGCCAAGGTCAGGAGCACAGAGCTGGAGAGGAGGTTGAGTTAGGATGGGCTGTACGGCTCAGGAATGTGCTCAGTGGACATTGACCACACTGTGTGAGGCTCTACTACAGTGACTGAGGTGAGCGTGGCTTCCTAAGGTCAGCCGGGTCCTGGGTGTGGAGACAGAGCATGGGCAAGCACTGTCCACAGCAGGGTGCATCTCAAGGGTCCGGGGACCCCACACAAATCCACACAAACTCCACCCGCTCTGGGAGCTATGAGGTGACCATGGTAGAGATGGGCCCAGGGCCCAGGACACCCTCTGATCCCACTGTGCCTGCTCTGCAGATCTGAGGTCCTGTCAGAGCCAGGAGAAAAGGTCAGGGGGTGGAGGTCGGGAAAGGAGGGAACAGGCGCCTGTCTGCCTGTCCCTATCCTTGTGCCTGCTGGTGATCACTTGGTCCAGTTCATAGGGGTTCCCTGCACCGGAGGTGGCTGTGGAGCAAAGCCAGGGATCCTGATCTTCGCCTGGTGCCTCTGCTAGCTGGAACTGGACCAGGTCTGAGGGTCAGATATCACTTGCTGTGTACGCCAGGATCCAGGGCAGGCCGCACCCGGGACGCTCTGGGACAGCGGGAGGGACGGAGGAGGGGAGAGCGAGGACCCGCGCAAAGGCTCGAGGGCGTCCGGCACCCGCGTCCGGCGGGGCCAGACGGACGGACACACACCTGCTTGCGGGCCCGCAGCACCTGGCGCGCGCGGCTGTGGAAGCGGTCGTTGCTCGCCTTGTTGTACTCGGTGAGCGCGAAGTCCAGCGCGCGCTGCACACCTTCCTCACGCACGTCCGCCTCCTCCAGGCCGCCCAGCAGGCGCGGGCGCTTCCTGGGCTCCGCGGCCAGCGACAGAGATAGGACGGCGACCAGGACGGCGGCCAGAAGCAGAGCGGAGCGTGCCATGGCTGCTACGGGACAGAGATAGAGACCGGCGCTGCGCTGTGCCTTTATCCACTGTGCTCCGCCTCTTCCGGCTGCTGCTCTGGGCCCCGCTCCGCCCAGCCCCGCAGCTCTGCGGGCTGAACGCTTTATCAGCACAAAAAGGCGAAAAGAGCAGTCCTGGCTTCCAGGGGTCCTCGGAGGTCAGGTAATACCCAGAGCAGAGGTGCCTGGAAGCACAGGCCCTCCCCTCTCCTGGGCAATTCCTCCACTAAGCAGGAGTGACTCCGCTCTACTTGGGAAAGCCCAGGGGTTCTCCTTAAGGACTCGTGATCAGTCAGTCAGTCAATCAACACATCTCCCAAAATTACTCTCAGCCATGTGGTCCACGACAGAGATGGGCACAGGGGGCTGAGCCTGGAGGGGACACCTCACAGGGCCCCCGCAGAGCTGGGACACTGGCCATGTGTGGCTTTCAACTTCTGGTAGACACATTAGGAAAATAAAAAGAACAGGTGAGATCATGTTAATAAAAGGTGTACTTAACCTTTACACCAAATGTCATTTCATGATACAGGACAATTCCTAAGGAGATGCTTTATACTGAGTGTGTGTGTGTGCGTGTGTGTGGCCTTTGGAATCTGGGTGTTTGTGACCTGCAGGGCAGGCATCCATGCGAACTGTCCCCATTTCTAGCTCCTGTGGCTCCGTGTAGTGGAGACTGAGTCCCAGCTTCAGGGAACCCCAGCTTCAGGGGGTGGGTGACAGCTCTTCAGATCAGAGAATCACGGGAGCTCTGGTGCAAGGAGATGGAAGGACTGGGGCCAGAGGTGAACATACTGGACAGTGGACACTGGATGGCAGACCCTTGGGATCAAAGAAGATGCGAAGTTCGGCCTAAGCCAGGACACAGAGCCAGTTGAGGGTGCAGCCAGGGACAGGACTGGGGCAGGGGCTCTCTGGCCTAAGAGCAAGAAGCCGGGGGCCTCTGGCAGGGCAAGACTGATCTTCCCTAGGCTGATCTGATCAGCCTGGATGCTGGGGACAGGACCCTGGGGTAGGGGTGCATGGGTGGGGCCCTGAGGGTTGCACATTAGAGCCCATGAGCAGCTCCTGCTTCTCTCTTGGGGAGTCACACTGTGCTCTGCTCCTCTGTCCTTGATGGACACTTTGAATGGGTGCTTGTACATGGTGATGTGTTCCGTGTCTGTGTCCAGACCAAGGGACTTAGTAATCCACACCTAGAGCGACACTTCCACCAAGATCCAGAGTGGTCACCACCTGGCCAGCTCCCTGGTGCCCTGGGGTCTCAAGCTCATGGTCACCAGGCCCTGTTCCCTGTTTGTCCCAGCCTGGGACCTGCTCCTATTCCTGACCTTCCCAGGGATGGACTCCCCAGGTGAGTGCCTGTGTTGCGTCCCTGCCTCAGCTTCCTTTCTGAGCTCCCCTTGTGCTGTTTCCTTAGCCTGGTGTTTGGCCTCTGCCTCCCACAGAGCCTCTGCCTCTGGCCCCAGTCCTTCCATCTGGGGATGAAGAGAGGACAAAGGCAGCTGGGAACCATGGGGCCACCAAAGCCCAGACTCAGGCATAGCAGGCCTGGCTGGCATAGGGCCTGCAAGAGGAGCAGGTGCAGAGCTCTGGAGAAAGAGCAGAACCCCACATCCAAGACCCAGGACAGTGACTCTAGGGTGAAGGTGGCCAACTCTCCTTTGTTGGGTGGGGCAAGGTAGCCACCAGCCAGTCTTGCTCTGTCCTGCCTGAGTTGGGAAGATGGGATCCAGGAGAATTGGCAGGTGGGAACGGTTTCCTGTGTGCTGAGGGCTCTGCCCCTTGCTGGGTGGCTTCCCTGCTCCCTGCTACTCTTGAATGGGCTCTGGCCTGGGCCCCAAAACACAAAGCACATGGAAAAGGTGGCTCTGTATGGCTCTAGTCCTTTGTTCTTGTCTTGCCCCTTCCTTCCCCACCCTCTCCCTTCCCTTTTCTCTTTAAATCGGGACCCTGCCCTTCCTCCACCCTCTCATTTCTTCCATAAAGCCAGTCTTTTTGATCATGACCTCCCCCCACCACCACAGGGGTTGAACCAGGGTCTTTGCAGCAAACTACATAACAAGCATTTTTTAACGTTTTTAAATTTTTGAGGCACGGTTTCCCTAATTACTTAGTTGCCTGATTGGGCTTGAATTTATCATCCTTCTGCCTTAGCCTCCTGAGTGCTGGGATTGTAGGAGTGCGCCACTGTAACCTACACAGGGTCAGGGTTTAGTCTTTCCTTCCAGACAGAACCCAGAAAAGGATAAAGATGCCCTCATCAGTGGTGCAAACCCAGATTTTATAAGAAAGAGCAGCTTTTCCCAACTCTCCCTCATATGTGAAAATACATGTTGAGGTTCCTAAAGAAAAAGGATCAGTTCAATATAGTCCCTAAAAAACAGAAGAGAAAGAAGAACATACAAGGACAACCCGCTATGAGTTCCCTGTGCATGTGTGTGTGTGGGCCTGTGTACACATGCGCGTGCACACACACACGTAAATGCACGTGCACACACACAAGTTCATGCTTGTGCTTTAACCTGGCCATGTCTGTGCTGCTGGCCCTGCGGCCCCTTCCCCTCTTGTCCCTTCCTGAGCTCCGCCTCTGGGGTGTGGCAGCCTCTGATCCCCGGGTTTGTCTTCTCCTCAGGGCTGAAGTTTCCTCTGATGCCACACTTTCAGTTCCTCCTGTCCTGGTTCTGTAATGAGCACTCTAGGTACAATGTACTTTACCACAGGACAAACCTTCTTGCAGTTGGTTCTCTTCCTAGAACCAAAACTTGGGGGATCAGTTTTTCAGCTTTACAGACCCAGATCGCCAGAACAACAGGCTTGACCCCGCCAGAATGAGGGATCCCAGAGAAAGGCCCAGGGGTCCTGACACACATGGGGCTTCATTCATGAATGACTATCTGAGGGTGTTGTCCTCAGTGCTATCACACAGCCTGGGGACCTCAGTGCTGCCGCCTAACAGGTGGTGCTGTGGTTCAAACACTTTCCTGCTCCACACATGCTCACCCAAGCTGCTGTTTTGTGGTCTCACCATGCTATAGCTGAAGGCGCTCCTTACTGGGTGCAGCTGCCTCACGCTGGGCTTCCAGCATCCAGACCTGGAGCTGGGCAAATTGCTTTTCTTAGTAAGTCCCTCAGTCTCTGCTGTTCTCTTATAGCAATGAGAAATGGAATGATAGGTGGCTTCTGGTTATCAGAGTCTCAATGCCCCAGTCCCTTCCAGCAAGCTCTTCAGGTATTTACTGATCCTTCATGAAAAGCATTCTTGGTTCTGCCTCTACTCACTCATCTCTTCATTGTCCAACAGTGCACATCTGAAGTCAGATTCTGACTCTGAACTGGAGAGAGTATGTCCTGCCCTTGGGAGGTCACCGGTGTCTGAGGAGAGACGCAGTGGGTCTTTACACAGGGTGAGGCTGGGTGTCAGGGACCCTAGCTCCAGATGCATCCTGGGAGTCACTGGGAGCTTGGCTGGGTGGATTTAGAGAATGCAGCACCATCTTTTGTTGCTGTTTTTCTTTTTCCAAAGGCTAAACAGACCTCCTGGACTTCCAGCCTTCTGAACTGCTTTTTCTGGAATAAGATGCTCTTTTTGTAAGTCCCCAGCCTAGGGTGCCGTTTAGAGCACAGACAATGACTAAGACCCCAACTGTCCTCTGTGGCTCCCAGGGGTCTCCAGCAGGGAGCGCTGCCCTATTTTGCTCTGCAGCGCCCCTTGGGGACTCTGGACATGAGGGCCATAGCCAGCTATAGCCTGGGTTCCCCTCCTCCTGCCTGTAGTTTCCCCACCTCAGGGCAGGCACCACAGCTTTCTGGGTCCTCTCACTGAGAACGTGGGTATCCAAGTCACTGCTCTCCTCTGCATGCAGCACACAGCACCAGGGAGCCTTCCACCGCACCTCCAGAGCAGACCTAGAACCTGCGGTCTGCCCAGCTCACTGTGGCCTGGCCACTGGGTCTCAGTGGGGCCTCCTGACCCTGAAACATCTGCTCAGCCAGCCATGGGGACAGAGTTCCTCCATGACCTCAGCCTCGGGCAGGACCCCACTTGTGCTTCAAACTCCCGTGAGACCTTAGCTCTGGCCTGGGCTCCTGTGATCTCACTGAATTTCCACTCATTTGAGCTTCCAGGTCCCCAGTGGCTATGGCTGCTGAACTGGGAAGGAGGTCCTGAGGGTCCTTAGTCTCTAAGAGGACAGGACGAGGGCTCCAGCAGCTCCCAGGCCAAGCACATCCAGCCCCAGCTGTGACATCCTCTCCTGCTGCCCCTGCTGTGTGGAGGCTGCTCAGGGCCCTTGGTCAGCTGGGTCCTCCTGCAGGTTTATGGCTGCCGCCTTACCCTTTCAGGCGCCTGCCTCCCCGAGCCTTCTCTGACCTCGTTAAAGTCAGGCCTTCCTTTCTCTTTCCACACATTTATTTTCTCACTGCACTTCCTGAGTTTTGGAGTGTGCTTTCTTCGCATTTCCGCCTCTGCCTACACAATGTCAGCCTCAGCCTGTCGTCCGTCTGCTTTTCTTCCCGGTGCCTGGCACGGATCAGGCAAGGCATTTCCTGAATGGCAATGGAGTCAGGATTACTGCGCTTACATTTAAGCTCCTTTTATTTATTTATTTATTTTTTTTTGAGACTGTGCTAGCATTTTCTCCCCGTAGAGGGTGTCCTACATAATTCGAGTTCATTGAGAGGGAAGAGATCGCCCCAGGGACACAGGGAGAGAAGAAAAACCCAGACAGTGGGTTTTGAGCCTTGTTTCTAGCGTCTCTGAGACTTAAGTGAATAGATTTGTCTGAATGAGGCTGAGCAGAAGCCAAAGGGATGCCCAGGGGAGACAGGTCTAGAACACAGAACTCGAGTCTTCAGAGGAGGCAGCTGAGGTGGACAGCGGTGACCTCCCCCAGTTCCCAGTCCTGGCTTTTCCCTATGTAGTCACTGGTCTCGGGACCCTCCGGGCTGTGCTGGATGCTGCTGCCCAACTTGGGTTACTCCTGTCCTGCCTGAGTTGGAGGCTGGAGGGCAAATGCTTCCTGGGCTG